ATCCCGAGGCGAATATCTTTTTCTTTGCCTTCGACATCACTGATAAGAATAGCATTGCAACAGCCTTCGAGAAAGCGGTTAAGAAAATCGGACACTTTGATGTGCTGGTCAATGGTTGTGGTATGATGGATGATACCAAAGTGGAGCTGATGATTGAAATTAATTTGGTAGATTGTTAAGCTTGAAAAGACTTTCAGAATTGGTTATATAAATTTAACTGCATACAATACTTCTCAGATGGGTTTAATTCATAGTACTTTGACGGCTCTGACATATATGAATAAATCCAATGGTGGACGCGGTGGTCTTATCATCAACATATCCTCTGTGGCCGGTTTGGAACCAACGTCTTTCATAGCTATTTATTCGGCGGCAAAACACGGTGTCACAGCATTCACGCGAGCCTTGGCGGTGAGTAAATATTTAAATTGAATGAGCACATATGAGAAAAAAAGCTTTGCAGTTTAAATAATCCAAATTGTGCATTTCATAGTAAATGCTGGAATGCATTTCGGTATGGCTTTTTACGGTATTGAAATACTTATTTGTTTTGGCTGACACACACCTAACACACCAAATTATTAACCAGTAATGCAATTTCAGTTGCGCCAATTTTTTTATTCTTTTTTTTTTTGATAATTAAATTCAGACAATGAAATCGRAGTGTTGAGAATAATTTTATTTGTATAACCTAAATTTCATTGCGACAGGTTTTCAAGAACCGGTCTGTCATGGTAAACGGCTGCAATAATTTACAAAGCCAAAAGCCAAATATTCCTGATTGCATAAATACTGAAAGTTTTACACTTCTTGTTCGAATTATTTCTTTTATAAAATATAATAACTATATTCACTTGACTCTTATAACTTTGTAATTTTTTCAGGATCCCCACTACTACGAGCATTTCGGCGTTAGCTTTATCACCATTTGTCCAGGCATTACAAAAACAAACCTTGTGGAGAACATTCGCGAGAAGGTAATATTTAAATTCGCTGAAGATTTAGGCGCACGTTGTGATACAGCTGAGCGCCAAAGCCCCGAAGTTTGCGCACAAAACTTGGTGAAACTGGCAGAGACTGGCAAAAATGGTGTCGTCTATATGCTTGATTTGGGCAAAATCAAGGAAATAACATTCCCAACCTTGTGGACTCCGGTTTTCAAGTCCTAATTAATGTATATAGATTGTTCTACTGACTTCTAGTTTATATGTACATATGTGTGTTGCCAACTCTTTGGAGTTATAATTTTTTAGGCATCTGGTTTGCAATTAGAAATAAAATGCACATGATAAAATCTTATGAACAAGAATTTAGCAAACGGGTTTATTGTTTTAAAAATCATTTCGAGCAAGTGAGCGTCCGGACTGGCTCAAGACGAGAGGCTCAATTTTCAACCACTTTTTCTAGCGTTAATATGTTAATGTTGTTTTATAACGCGTCAAATGTTCTCTTCTAAGGCGTCGATCATCTCACGCTTATCTGCGTGGAGTAGTGACTTCATAAAATTCAGAAAAAGTAGTCTTGAAGGCGATACCATAGGCATAAGACGCGAGATAATAGCGCTCAACAAAAGCTTTCTTCAATAAATTCTTTATTATAGCAAATAAATGGAGATGACAAAACGATTTATAAATTAATAGTGTTATCTCTTATGGCATATACACAAACTAAGAACCATTTTGCTGCGTTAAAATGCCAAGTGTTAATACGTGTTGGTTTGAGAAAAGAACTCTTATCGGTTTTTTGTTTCTGCTGTTTATCTCATACCACAGATGGTGTTATGCTTACAATTAATGCAATCTTATGGAATAATACTTGAGCACAACTTTATATATATATATTATACTTTTATTATCTCCGATTCTATATTCACAAACAGTTTTTCATCTTGAAAGCAAACTTGATATAAAGTAATCACAGAGATAGGGTGTTTAATCACATCTCAAAATAGCATATTTGTTTTCCGARCAATAATAAACACTTAAAAGTTATCATTACAAAAACTTAGTGGAATTTTGAAAATTATTTTCGCCGTTGGCAGCAAGATGATTTCATAAATTGTGATGACTAGAAAATATTCCACCTTGATGCAACCGTGAATAAAATCATCATTAAATATGTACGATTAAAATCATTATAGATAATAAATGAATATTAATTTTTTTTATAATTTTTAGTTGTATCTCTATAAATGTAGGTCATTGTGAAGAAACGTTCACAATTTAGAATATAGTTCGCACAAACAAGTGTCAAAGGCGAAGTCCCATTTAATCGTTGTATATTCACAAATACTATATTATGCAGTTTTTTGCATGTAGAAGTTAAAGTTAGTCGATTTTGTACTTTTTTTTTTTTTTACAATGTGCAAAGTCAAGTTGTGTTTAAACAGTTAAAGTTTTCGTTTTTACATCATTTTAAGCGACGACTGCATTCTTAAACCGCAGAAAACGACAGCTAACCGCACTGTTAAATATGAGCAGAAAAGCTTGCCTCATATTTCCCTCGTAAACCGGTCAAAAAAGCACCGGAACATGATTGAAAACAAACTTGAGAATCAGTCAAAACAAAGTTACGAAACATACGCAATGTTATGATTTACACTTAAAAAAATCGGAGTGGATYAATTTCATCGTACGCAGAGCTTCTATAGGAGTTAGTGTCTTTTGAGCGGCTAAGTTCAGGCCTTGAGCGCGCCAGCCTCGTTGCTTTCACATGAATGCAACAGATTCTTAGGTAATAAAATGCATTCAAAATTTTATTCAAAATAATTATAGGAAATACYTTGTTTTGTTATATTCAATATTTGCTCCAATCTTCCGCGTATTCTAACCTAATATAGTATATTTGATGGTAAATTGGAACTAAATGTTCCGCATATTTCACAGGGAGCTACCTCCACATATTTTGGAGTGTCCGAATGAAATTTTTTGTTGTCGAAAACTGTTTTCTTGATGTTTTGGCTTTCACTAAAGCCCAAACATTATGTTCTTTTCTTATCCCAACACGTCTAAAATATGTAGATATGACGTTGCTCCAATCACGGTGCCAGATCTCTGAAGTTTTTCMCTTATTGTATTTAGAGATACATACGACCGTGAGAAAAAGTTACATTAAATTATTTTGTGTGTGGAACCGAATTTCTGGTGCTGGAATGTTCAGAATGTTAGAGAATGTTGTCTTTGATAATTGTTTGTCGCTAACCAGTWTTTTGGATCGGTACGAATTATTCAAAGAGGGTCGAGAACGAGTCGCCCACGTCCAAGAATGCAATCAACATCAACTGATGATCAACATGCTAATAAAATAAAGAAGATAGTGCTTGAACATCGACGATTAACAGTCAGAGATCTTACTGTTGAAAGGATCAGTGAAAACCATGGGAAAAATCATTCAAGTCTATGAAAAAAGAAGCACGATTGGTTCCAAAATCACTAAATTTTTCCGAAAAACAGCGTCCCGCTAACGTCTGTTTGTTTCACTTTTACTTTCCGACTACCAGAATGTCGTGGAACGTATTATTACTGGCGATGAGTCTTGGATCTAAAAGCCGAAAAAAACGTCAAAGCAGACAAAAATCAAGGTTATGGTGACAGTTTTTTTTTTTTTTTGGATTATCGAACTCCGCACTCCGAATACCTTCCGACCAGCTAAACTGTCAACAAGGAATAATATTTGAGTGCTTTACAAAACAATCGCGAGGCTATTCGTAAAAAGAGGTACCACGATAATGCACCATCGCATGCTGCATTGATTTTTCGGGAGTTTTTCGCCAAATTTTCAACCAATATCGCGCCGCAACCACCGTATTCACCTGATTTAGATCCGCGTGACTGCTGGTTATTCAGCAAACCCAAACGAACGCTCTAAGAATACCGGTTTGAGTCAATTGAAGATATTAAGTGTGAATTGCGCATTGAAGGCTATTCCGGAAATTAAGTTTAATCGGAATCGGAATCGGACAAAACATTGGTACAAGTGTATTAGGGCCAAGGGAATTACTTTGAGGGGGACGACATAGATTTTGAAAAATAAATTAAGAATTTTAAATTTATGAACAAGTCTTACAATTTTTTGTTCAGAGTAGYCCAATTCCTTAAAAAAATATAAGTTTTCTTAGACTGCAGTTTCTTCTCGAAAAGGAGAAAAATAGTTTTCCTCACTTTTAGATATCACGGGGTTCTTTCTTCTTAGCGGCTTGTTATCTACGTTTAAATTTTTTCGTAATTGTCAGACCACCTCTTCACAAATATACTATACAGCTCGCATTTTACAATTTTCTAATAGTCCTTTCTTCGGAAAATATACCATTGCTAAGGATAATAAGTTATGTCAAATTTCATTAAAATATCTCGTCTAATCAAAAAGGTTTCCATACAAGTACTGGATTTTGATCGTTCAGTTTTTATGGCAGACCAACTGTGAAAATGAGCGGAATCGGACAATAACCACGCCTACTTCCCATATAGCACAATTTTGAATTCCACTTGATTGGTTCAGTTTCCAGTACGCAAATCAAGAAGCAATTAATATAGCGGGATAAAAATTTGCACGAATAATGTCTTTAGTGTGTGCCATCTTATGACCAAAAATTTTTCAAATGCAACAAAAAGGGGTTCAAGCCCCTATATACTGAATATGTGGACCCCTGTCTCTTATACACATCTAGATGTGTATAAGAGACAGCTGAAATGCTGATGCTCTGGCGTAAAGCGCTCATATCAACAGAGCGCTTACCGGTCAAATATTTGTTCTTTCATTAATGTTTGCGAATGTGTCGCACAAAAGCAAATGCTGATAAATTATAACAATGAAAATAACCAATGAACAAAAGGCAATGAAAAATTAAAAATAAATTATTGCACAATAATAGCTGATGAGTGCAGATTAGTAGCAGCGGTGGGCAATTTAATGTTTAAAATAAAATTATTATTTGATTTAAAAAATTATAAAGATTTTTAATTCATTTATAAAAACAATGAACTGTTAAAATATTTATTTCGACGAAAGTCAAATGAAAAATGTGCCTTTTTCAGCAGTGCATACGTTTATAGTAGCACGCACACCCAGCATGTCACATAAAATTGCGAAAATGAGTGGAGTGACAGACCGGCAAGTGGAGTTGCGATCAGTAATTAAACACGCGATCGCAGTTCGGCCGAAATTATCAGCCACCAAAAAAGTATGGATTTAAAAAATAAAAATGTTATTTATGTGGGTGGATTTGGTGGCATCGGTTTCTGTTGTTGCAAAAGCCTCTTAGAACAAGGGGTGGCCGTAAGTACTAAGCATATATCAACAACTAGTTAATTCAATGGAACCGCAATAAACAGCAATCAATTGTACATTCCAATTAGAATATTGCGATTATGGATGTGGTGGAGGATGCTGAAATGCTTGAGACATTACAAGCTATCAATAAAGCTGCTAATGTATTCTACATTAAAATGGAYTTAACAGATGTGGAGAATATAGAGGGTGCCTTCACAGAAGCACATGACACTATGGGTCGCTTCGATATTGTGGTGAATGGTAGTGGCATAATGAATGAGCATGAAATCGAACGAACAATACAAATCAATTTGGTGAGTTGAAAAAAGCTAACCGTTGTGTTTTGTTTTCATTTAAATCAATGCGTTTAGACATTTCGAAAATACCCTGCTGTGAAATCAACTAGGCATGAACTACTTCACAAGTAGTATAAAACGAACTAGTTGGTCACTTTAAGCTTAGAATTTATTGTTCAATTTTGCGCAGAATTATATATATATATTTTTTTTTTTAATCGTTGAAGTGAAAGAAGACAAGAAAAAACATTAATTTTGGTTGCATTAACACTAGAATCATCTTCACAAATAAAAAAGTTGCCATTAAAGAATTTGATTTTCATGTATCAGCTTGTATGTCAGCTAATTACTATAGTGGTCCGATTGGATTAGATTTTGCGAACGTTTTTCTTGATAATAATCTGTGCCAAATTTCGCGAAGATATCTTGTCGAATAAACAATTTTTTTTTGTAAGGACATGTTATCTATCATTCAATTTGTATGGCAGCTATATGCTATAGTGGTTCGATCTTAAACTTTTTTTTTTTTTTTTTTGTCGAAAATTGTAGCGTTGTTTTAACCAATTATTTAAAACAAACTTCGTGATGATATTTTGTCACACGAGGAAGTTTTTCATAGATAGATAGATAGATTAATGAGGTAATGCACCGCGATCTCATACAATAACTTGACTTTGAACGTTCAGTTTGCTTGGCAGCTATATGCTGTTTGAGTCCGATATCGGCGTTCAGCGGCTGCTTAGGGAGAAAAAGAAGTGCATAAAATTTTATATCGATCACAACAACTGAGACATATATAAATCTGAAGTTTACTTGACTACTTCGATTTTCGCCAAATAGTTCTGAACGTAAACTAGTACTATTGGGACTAGTTTAAAGTTTCACTGCAGAGCATTTCGTTAGCTTATAAACTTTATTTTTACTTGCTTGAGTTTTTGTTTATATGTATGTTTGTATATATTCCAGTTAGGTGTCATTTACAGCACTTTTGCGGCTTTGCGTCTAATGGACAAATCGAAAGGTGGGAATGGCGGTCTAATTGTAAACATTTCCTCCGTCGTCAGTTTGGATGCTTATGGTGCATATGCTGTGTATACCGCTTCCAAATATGGTGTTAATGGATTCACAAGAGCACTTTCTGTTTGTCATCATAATACTAATTAATTTCGATTAAATATGCTTATGATATTCATTGATTTTACAGGATCCATATTATTACAGTCAAACAAAAGTCGGTTTCATCACGATCTGCCCGAGCACAACGGAGACACAAATGGTTTCATCGCTACGCATGGATGCCTTGACCACATTCGATCGTATGCCACCACTGCCCAAGRCGTTGTGTAACAATCAAAGCCCGGAAAATTGTGCCTATAATTTAGTAACAGCCATTAAGACTGCCAAAAATGGTTCGGTGTGGATTTTAAGTGCCGGCATTCTAAGGGAATATCACTATCCCGATATCTAAATGAAAAAGAAAAGTTTTGAAAGCAAAAACAGCCATTGAAAGGAAAATAACATAATAAATTTGAAAAGGTGAAAAAGGTTTGAAARGTAAAAACTGTGTCAAATATGTTCTGTTAATTTGTTTTCTACGGCTACTGACATAAAATTACTTCAAAATATAATTTAATATCGCCTGCTAAAAAATAAGTTTGGTAAATAATGCCTTTTAAAAATATGTTTATATAAAAGTATTAATTTTTAATAATAATTTAAGGCCAAAGGAATCTATTTAAATTAATTTTTGCTCTTAAAAACTTTGTGTTATTGCCGGTGAAAAGTTCAGTATCCAATTAAATATATTCTTTATCTAATAGTTTACTGAAAACTTCACTATAACTTATGCTCTATGCCACCATATGCTGTAACTGCCAGCAAAGTTTTTTAATTGCAGTCGATCTCATGGAAAACGGTTTTTGAAATTTCATTACACTTATGTATGTAAATTAATTAAACTCGAATAGAAGCCATGCAACTAGACATTAAAATTTATTCTTATATAACTCTAGTGATAGTCAATAAAATATATAAGATAATGTGAACAAACGAAAATATTTGTATTCCTAACCTTACAATTAACCTTAATTAGACATCGAAAATTCTATTCAATATCGGAAAGCGCATACAATTTAATATACTGCTGTGTTTAGAATACTTGTTAAGTAAATTTAAGTCTAGGACAAAATAAAATCTCTAAATATATACATATAAAAATTACGTGTCACATTTTGTCCGGGGGTAAATTCCTAAACTACTGGACCAATTTTAGTAAAATTTAGCGCAAACTATTCCATTTGACCCAAATTAGACGATAGGATAGTTTATATCTCAATTGTGTTTAAAGTGAATATATATTTCAAAAACAAAAGCGTGTTGTCAAGATTAAGCAAAAATAGAAATGGTTGCCCGAAGGTACGTAGGTTGCTTTTATATTTCGGGATTTGGCGACGTAGTGTTGCCTTTTAGCAACTAACAACTTTATGCTAAGGTTTGAAATTTATAATGTTATACTTACTCAGAACGTTTTGCCTTAATACCGCTTTTCTTTTGCATACAGTAACTTAATACATTCATCTCGGCCAAAAAATGRAATTAAACCGCGAACATTTTCGAGCAATTATTTTTTACAATTTTCGACGCTGATTAACKCAGCTACAGTACATCGATAATTCAGTTTTTTCCGATGAAGCTGCAGGACAGTGTTTATCCATGGTATGGTGAATAGAATCGAGATCGTAGTTCACTCCAAGGCAGATTTCGTGTAGGTCGACCCAAATCACAAACTAATATTGCCAAATGGTTATTCGATCTATCGTGAGACAGAGAAACTGTAGGAATTATTAGTGCCAGCATACATTCAATATTGCGTAAGCATTTAATAAAAAAAAATAGTCACGATTGGTTGAAAGAAATGTTAAAAAATACAATAGGTGTGCCTCAAAACTCGTGTATGAAATCATGCGATATTGAAACGTAGATTTACGCGTGTGCACCCAAAAGTTAAGATCAGTCGGCTTCATGAGTGTTTCAAGATAAGCCGTGTATAACAAAAATTGTTCGCGCACGAAGCATTTTCGAACAGGTGATTGCACCATACCGATAGATCAACGCAGAACAAAAAAAATCTCAGTGATACACAATCATCTGTTTGCCAGTTGCCTTTCCGGAAATCAGGAAAACCAAGAACAGAAGGCGGATCACCATTCACCACGACAATATGAAACAACTGTATTCGATTTTTAATCACTTAGAACATCGATTTAAATCTACCGTAAAGTCTTGACTTGCCACCAACTTGCCTTCTTTTATTTTCTATATACATATTATATTTGCAAAGTGCTTTGGTTTAAACGCATACAAAAATATATAGATCTTAATGGAAATCATTTTGAAAAACAATAAAGCGATTCTCGATAGTAACATTTTTTTTTTTTTTGTTCTCTAATCCCGAAATATAAAAGGCAACCTACGTAAAATAGACTATAGCATAAAATAGTATAAAAAGATCTTTGTCAGCTCTACTGATCCGATCTGAACAATTTCTACTGAGATTGTACGGTGACCTTGGACAATAACCCATGCAAAATTTCGTGGAATTATCTCTTCAAATGAAAAAGCTTTCCACGCACGTACGACCTAAACAATTTATTTGAGATTATACCGTTGTCTTGGATTATAATTAGTGTCGTATTTAATAAAGACAACATGTCAAATAAAAAGGTGTCYACACAAGGAGATGTATTTGATCGTTYCGTTTGTATGACATATATATTMTWGTGGTCCGATTCGGCGGTTCTGAAAAAAATCAGTTTTTTGGAGATGAAAGGACATGTGTCCGATGGATACCTCAAAAACTGTTCCGCTAGTTTGCGTATATAGGACTTAGCTCATCATGCTGATTATTTATGATATATAGGTATACATATATTTTAAAGGGTCTCCACAGTTTTTTTGGTGGTAAACTTAATATACCTTGTTCCGGGAATATCAACCATTAATTTGAGTAAAGTGCCAAAAGGAATGTTCATTATATTTTCCTATGCAAAATATTTGTGTGATCTATATCATGGAGCAGCTTTTTAKGAAGGAAAGGGCGTGTACACAATWTCAGATCGATATTTCGAAAACTGAGGGACTACWTAGCGTATATTCAGACAGACAAGCCGACMTATCTCAATGGACTTAGCTCGTCACGCTGATCATTTATGTATATACTTTAGGGAGGAGGAATGGTTTTGGACCATTATATACACTCCTATATTATACAATGAAAGCTTTTTAATGCTGTTTTCAAAATTTATTGTTTGCCTTTAGAAAATCTCTTTTTTTTCCAGAATTCTAATTGTTTTGCCGAATCAGGGGTCCCGACGAACTTACATATGCCAGTAGTTGGTTGGCATCACCTCCTTTAGTTGACCCATGTTGCACAAATAGACAGCACCATTTTTCATCATCTCCATCGCTTTGACCATATTCATCGCACACTCAACAGGTGATTGCTGTTTGGCATGGTCCATCGCTTCGACCAACTCTCCAACATATGATTGCTGACCCATCACCGACTTCTCACGTAAATTCATCATCGCTTCACTGGTAGTGAGACCAGGGCATACAACAATGAAAGCCACACCAGTATGTTGGTAATGACGCTTGTCCTGAAGAAAACAAATATTTATGTTATGGATATATTTGTATATTTGCAAAATGTGCATAGAGAAAGAACTTACCGCCATTGAGCGTGTGAAACCAATGACGCCGTGCTTGGCAGCGGCATATACTGGGAAGGCAGGTGCTGGTTCCAAACCGTAAACGGAGGCAATATTCATCACAATACCGCCTTGACCCATTTGCGTTTTATCCATGTACGGCATACACAACCAAACCATATTCATCATGCCCATCTAGACATATATAGATAAGTTTTTCAAATGAGTATAAATTGAATTTCCTCTACAAAGGGGAGTTCGTTTTTACCAAGTTCACGCCCATTGTGGTTTCCATATCCTTGTCGGCCAACACGCCTGCACCATTGATCAATACATCGATGTGTTTTATGACGCCCATCACTTGTTTAACAGCCTGTTCCATGTTGACGCGATCCATCAGGTTCATGTGAACGAACATCACATTTACTGAGCTATTTTCGGCTTGTAGCTTCTGCATCATTTCCATATTCTCCATGCGACCCATCACAATTAGGTGCTAGACAATATATACATATATATATATAGACATATATATTTTTCTTAATTACCATATTTCTGATTTCGACTTACGCTTATCTGCTTCTTCATCAGCATATGGCAAACTTGGTAGCCAATACCGCCGAAGCCTCCAACATAGACGACATTTTTACCGCTCAAATCGAACATTTTGTACTTAATAAATATTGAAATTGAAAAATCTTCACAGAAATACTTTGCTTAATTTGCAATACGCTGCTTAGCGTTAGACTATGAGTTCCTTCGTCGCTGCATCGCCTTTTATAGCCGCCCATTGTTTCAGTTRTTTGTAATCGAGCGATACTGCAATCAGACGTCCACTGTTTTGGTGTGCGGAGAGACCAATTTTATTGATAAGCCAGGTGTGCACGAAGTTTACATATAAGAACTCAATGAGTTCGCGGTGATGATTGACCCCAGTGGGTGACAACATCCAAGCATCCTCTTCTTGTCGATATTCTTTTGCATGTATGTATGTATATATGCATATATATGAGCATAAGCCTAAAATGCGATAATTTATGCCTCTAATCACATTTTAAAAGTGTGTAATTATTGCCGTATGTCTCCGCCTAATTGTATTTATCAGCTTATTCCATGAAAAGTGCAATAAATTGGTGGAAGGTTAGGGTCAAATGCGCAAACATTTAGTAGAGCCGAAATAGGTTTAGTATCGCAGCAATAGACCTCGGTTAACATGTATTTAACTACTGCTTCAGACAACCCAACCACAATAAATAGGTAAGGGGGAGGGGGATTCAAAATGCTTTCGCACCTATAACTCYGAATTTGGCTTCGAACATACAAGTTGCTCTCTATCTACATGACATCCATTATATCGTGCAGGTCCGTGGACTTAAAAGTGTTGAATTTGTCAGCGCCCTTCTTGAAAGTCTGAAAAGTCTGTACCGCACCTACAACATTTCAACTTGAACTCTTCAAACAAACGCCTACAATGCTCACTACGTCCAAAAGTGACGAGTTCACTTTCATGACCGTTCGGTCTTAATATATTTCTCATGCGTCATTTATGCAGGCTGTGGGACACCTGCCGTGGCATCTATCAAGAGGGTAGACGGAGAACTGCATTATAGAAGGTATAGCAGTTGATCGCTTTTACAACCGTTGAACTTCTTCCACGCGAAGTCAAGACGCGGAACGCAATTTTCAACGATTTTCAAGCATAAATCGGCCGATACTGCTACAGTTTTATTAACCGTCGCTGGCTTGTTGGCATAGGCCATAGACTTGACGTAGCCCCACAGGAAATAKTCAAACGGCGTCAATTCGTGAGATAACCGGTTCACCTGTTCATTCGCTGTTCGGTTAGAAACACATATTATCCAATAAGGGCCAAAAATATTCTGTTATCATAACGTGTAACGTGTCGGTCTTGATCAGAACTACGATACATAAACCGTAAACAAAGGTGACTCATGGTACGAAGGTACTTTCATAGGAATAAAGAATTTCATTGATTTCYCAAACCGYTTTTTTTKKTTTTTTTTGTGTAGCGCTCTTATTGAAAATCTAAAATTGAGGCTACTGACTTCGAATTTCGGYAGTAATTTTACATACATAATTTCGACTCCTTGTTGGATCGAATATCTTTCCATGCTGAAATGGCAAACTTTACTGAAGAAAAATGAACAAAGAGCGGGGAAAAATATGGCGTAGTTTGCTATCCATATCGGTTTCTTTGGTAGTGGCCTATTGAAAAACCATATATGAGATATTTATTTTCACATCATTTTTAAATAAATTTAATACTTCATCGGATTTCTTTCAAGGATGTATATCAGTATCATCATCAGGGGTTCCACAATATCGGCATTACTTCCAGATATTTTGAGAAAATTCCAGTACACACGTATGTATTAGCCGCCAAACCYAACGAATTTTTTCGTCTGTCATAAATATACATATAAAATGTGGTATATAAAAATTACCACATTCCAATGCTGTAATAAAAAGCGAACATATAAG